AGGGAAAGAACAAACAAAAAGGTGTAGTGTAATGTGTGCAGGGGACCACAGTTTTAGAAGAGTAGCCAGGAAAGGCCTTACCAAACTGATGCTTGAACCTTGAAGGGTTGTGTAGCCTTAGGATGAAGAATTACATAGTGAGTTGAGTGCCTGATACACAGTAAGAGTCATTAAATTCAAACTAATATTGTTTTATTGTCAAGAGAAAGCCTGATATGATAGAGGTCATTGAAAGCTGGCTGCTTTTCCCCCTTTCCTTAGGGTCTTCAGGACCCTTAGGAGCATGCGCTTTTGGATCTCTTGCTGGAGCTTTTCGCTGACACCAGTTCAGGGCCTGGGACCTCAAATCTCACGCTTTAAGGCCTAGCTCAAGCTCCAAGTACTGTCCTAGAAGACATCGCTGATCCTCCTTCATATCGACGCCGGGTCTAGCCGGAGTTCCACCACTAAGTCGCTGTTTATCTTTGAGAAAGGAACTTCTCCGGTTCTCGTTCTTCCATCGATAAAATGAAAAGGTTATACTAGACGACCAACTGTCCGGCTCTAATGTTTTGTGATTCTAAGAGCTAAATCCATGTTCTAGTTCTGTTTCGCAGCTCATCCAACAACCCGAACGGCAGCCGATGCCCGCGGCCCAGTGGCTCGGCAGAAACCCAGGCCGCAGTCAGGGTGGGACGCACCGGCACCGGCGCATCTACCTCACTCGGGAGACGCCTGACCTTCCTCAGTACACCCGCCCTCCGGTCATTTCCGGCCTTTTCCAGATCCTCTTCCGGGACACTTGCTCGCGTGTGATCCTGCCCCTCGTCCACTCCTCCGAGCTAATTGGCTGTTTCTTTGAGGAAGCGGCGCATTTTCTGAGGCTGATTGGTTCCCGTCATTGTTGACAGGTTTGTTACAAACAAGGCGTGCCCGGTCTCCAGGGTAACGGCCCACCGATAGTCCCGATTGGTGGATGTCCTAATCCCATCTTCCGTGCTAACTGCGACTGGTTGAGTCCCTGGCGGGGCGCGGCGGTGGTAGGTGTCGCGTCCGGGGTTCCCGGGCTGACGTGGCTCGAGCTGGGAGGGGGGGAGCTGGAGCCTCCGGCTGCAGCCGTTTCCAGGTGAGTGGGGGGCGTCCCCCAACTCCTCCCTCCACAAGTCTCATAACGGTCACTAGCGACACAGGGGCTGTGGGGGCTGCCGAAGCAGCACACTGAATCCCGCCCCGCCCCTCCCGGATTCAGTAGGGGATCTGGTCCTTCTGCCGCCTCCCTCCACCCACCCGGCCTCGTTCTAATAGCCCCCCACGCTTGTCGGCCCCGCCGGAGCGTTTCAGGGTCGCCCTTCACGGCCTTGGAGCACACACGCGGTCTGCCCCTTTCCGGGACATTTCTCCTCTTGGAGCGACGGCGAAAGGCGCCAGGTCAGTCCTGTCCGCCTGGTCTGTTTGCCTGGGCGGCCTGCTTTCGCCGGCCTCGGTCCGCAGCCGCGGACGTCGGAGAGAACCTGCCTGGCCCCTGCGCTCAGGCCCTAAACAAACTTAGCGTCGGGGAGGGGAGGCGGGACCCAAACAAATCAGAGTTCTTGAAGGCGGAGATCGCAGAAGCGGCGGAGATACTAATACAAACGGAGGCCTGTCTTAGGATCTTGCTATTGCTGATGGGTCGCTGGAAGGAGGAGAGGAGAGGGATGACCCCTGCATGCCATTAACACTAAAATCCCAGGATTCAGAAGTGGGCTGGTTGTTAGAGAAGGGGAAAACCTGAAGAGAGTTCTGGAGGAAAAAGAACTTGGTTCAGTGGTGCGGGATATGTTTATTCTGCATCAAAGGAATGTGAAGGGGGGATGAGTCCCTTGACGAATGAGGAATATGGTTGTCTGACTTATTTAAAGAGCTCCAGTTGGTCTGTGGGGAGAGGGCCATTTAAGAATGAAACAAAGATATTTAAAATCATGGATAAGTATTTTTTATTTTGGGAGCTAGTCGGAAGCTCTCTAAGTACTTTCAGGAGCTGTGCAAAATGGCAGTAGAGAAGTCCACAGAAAAGCTAGAGGCTTTTCCAGAACCATGAATTAATGATTGGAATAGTCAGAATGATTATGAAGGGTCAAACATAGGGAATATTCTGTTGGAAACAAGGCAGAATTTGGCCATGGAATAGATATAGGAAAAAAGACATTGTATGCTGATTATAGCTTTTACTTCTCATCCCTTGACCAAAGAATGACTGCTTAATGCTTTCTTCTTATTGCATTAAATTTATTTGACAACATCAGTAGTTTCTAAAGACTTCTAATTGTACACCCTGTTAGTAAAACATTTTGGACATTCATCACCTCATATGTATTTAATATATGAGTACCTATGTATCCCCCAGTGATCTCTTGCTTTCTATTTCTCCAGGTAGCACATGCGCCCTCTAGCAAAAATCTCTCTCAAAAAAAAAAAAATACTATTTGAGACTCATCTTACCACTGATCGTTATATGCCAGACTGTTGTGACTGTTGTGAGGAACCGCTATGTAAAGATTAGATTTGTGCCAGCAGATGGAGTAGCAATTACATCACAGGTCTCCCATATGGCTCACCACAGTTCAAGTCCTGGACCCAGTGGCTTGAAAATCACACTGGGAGGATCTACAGATGGTGTAATGGTTACAGTGCTGAACTCCCATGTAGTTGACCACGGTTTGAGGCCCAGATCTGGTGGCTTAAAACTCATGCTGGACGCATGTGCGTGTGTGCCCAAAATCCTGAGAGGAGAATGAAAGAAAAGGGATTGTGATGTGACCATCCCATCTTAGGGGTGATTTCTTGCATGCATCCTATAGCAAACATCTCTCAAAAGAAATAAAAAAAAATAATCATGCTGGGTATGTGTGTGTGCATGCCCAAGGTCCAAAGAGGAGGATGGAAGAGAAGGGATTGCGTTGTGGTCATCACCCATGGGAGGTGATTTCTCGCTTTCTCTCTCATTGTCTCTGTCTCTCTCTCTGGCAAGTGCACATGCCCTAAGGCAAAAACCTCTACCAAAAAAGAAAACACAATTTTCTGGTCACAGTGAAGCATATGTATAATATATACCCTCCCTCTTGTCTTTCCCACAAGTGGAGTTATAATATACATACTACTATACATTTTTCTTTTATCACTTAGTACTATATGATGTATCTTTTTAAAAACATTGAATATGCATATTATGAAAAAACTGCATGGATTTCAAATTTTTTGCACCAAAATATACTTTAATTCCACTTTTCCATAAACTTTGAAGTACCTGCATTTATTAGGCGTTTTCAATATTCATCAGTATAAATGACCTCATTCTTTAAATGGCTTACATAGCATCTCCACATAGAAATATAAAAAATGTATTAGTTTATCTCCTTTTGATGAACACTTAGATGGTTTTCAGTTGTTTCATCAAAGCACTGCTGTAGTGAATATTCATCTCTGTATATCCTTGTACCCTTGTGTGCACCTATCTGTGCTATAAATAAAATGAAATTATTTGGGGCCATTCTACTATGAATCATTTCATTTTAGTCTACCACTCAAAAAAAGCACCAACAGAACTAATTGATGTATGCCCTTCTGCCTTCATGCCTTAATTGCAGTTTCCAGCCTGAGTGAAGACTTCAGGTGATGAGGTACTCAGAAAATAGAGTATTTTTTGTGTATCTCCATCAGGCAAGACTATTTGTTGAGCGGAGTGACTGGGCAGATTACTTCCCTATGTCTTAGTTTACTCATTTTAAAATTGGGCATATTGGAAGTATTTTCCGTAGAGTTATTTTAAGAATAAGATGTATTTGGGGCCAGCTGGTGGCATGGTGACTGGATGGCCAACTGTGAGGTTTGAGTCCTCACCCTGTACCTTGAAAAAACTACACCAGGAGCATGTGTATACATTCCCAGAATCCCAAGAGAAGGATGGAGGAGAAGGGATTGTGATGTGACAATTTCCCCTGATGGGGTGTTTTATTTCCCTCTCTCTTGTCTATCTCTCTGACAAGTACAAAAAAACAAAAAAAAGAGTTAATGAGGATAAATAAGTTATATGTAAAGCAAATGGAACAGTGCAGATATTGCTGTGAATATCTTATAGCTACCATTTACTTCTAAATTTATTTAAAGTAGTTTTTTTGTATCATGAAAAGGTTTTTTTTATTTTGTTTGTAGAAGTATATCGTAGTATTGATAATATTTTTTATTTTTTTATTTTTTTGAGAGTTTTTATTTATTTTTCTTTTTTGTTATAGGGCGCGTGCACTCGCCAGAAAGACAGAGAGAGACAGAGAGACAGAAAGCGAGAAATCACCCCCTAGGGAGGACGACCAAGCCACAATCCCTTCTCCATTCTCCTCTCGGGATCTTGGGCATGCACGCACACAGGCCCGGCGTGAATTTAAGCTGCCAGGTCTGGGACTCAAACCATGGTTGACTACGTGGGAGTCCAGCGACATCTCCATTACGCTAACTGCTGGTCCCTATATTGATAATATTGAATATACTTGTTCCAGCTATACAGCACTCCTTTCTTGTTAGCTCCTTAACCTGCTTGAGAATCACTTTGAGAATTAATCACTTTGAGAATTAAAGAATTGAGAAAAATCACTGAGGCACAACCAAATATACACAAGTAAGTTTGAGGCGAAGCCTCAATGGAAACCTAACATTGCATGTGCTGTTTCTGTGGGAAAATGTGATTTCCAAAGCAGGAACCAGCCATGTGGTGTGGTTAAGGGCACTGGGTCCTGCATGGCTGACGGCAGGGTTAGAATCCTGGACTCTAGGGCTTGAAAAGCATGCTGGGTGCGTGCGCATGCACGTGCATGCGTGCATAAAATTCTGAGAGAATGGAGTAGTAGAGATTGTGGCATAGTCTTCTGTCCGTGGGGGTGCTTTCTCACTTTTCTTCTCTCTCTCTTTCTCCAGTGAGCCCACATGCCATATAGCAAATTAAAAAATTTCTTTTCTAAAGCAAACATTGTATGTACATGTACACACAAGCATGCACTCACTGTCCACAATTATTGTGCTCATTTTTCTGTGTTTATTATATTAGGATCTTCATTTATTATATTATGTGGTTAGGGATAGGCCATCTATCTATATATAATACCTAATAAAATTAGATATTGTTCAGTTATTGTTGCCATCATCATATATATGTGTGTGTGTGTATGTGTGTGTATATATATATATATAATTATGCCATTTATATTTTATATATATATTTATTTATTTATAGTTCCTGATATAATGCTTTACATCAGGTGGATATTTAAAAAATAATAATATTAATGAAATTTAATTCTAAGTGTCACTTCAGTATGTCTGTGTGAAAGTCCTGTGACAGGTTTGTGGAAGTGAATTGTGGCCAGCATGAATTTTGAAGGGGTTATTTTATTTGCCTTAGTATTTTGTAGAAACCAGGCCTTGGTATGAATCTGTATATATATTTCATTCTTTTTCTTAGTTGCTGTTTGTGATTTTGGTGCTTTATAAAACAATAGCAAGAGTTCATCCAGTTGTCACACATATTTCTTACATGAATTTGTTACTATGACATGAATATTTATTTCCCCTTTATTTTTGTTTATACATTTGCCCATTTTGTCCTACAGTGAGGATAATAGAGGGACAATATGCCCATGTTTCTTCATTTAGCTTAAGGATGGCTCCATTCTGGCTTTCTTACCCTCAAGTTCCCGAACTTTGAGCTACTAAAGCACTCAGCTATGCTAGGATGCCCTTCCATTACATTTTCAGATTATTCCTTTAATGTCCATAGATACAGATATAATTCTTGAATTATGGAATCACAATTGGGCATTAGAATGGCTCTTGTAAGTCTTCATCTTAAGATGAGGAAGCTGAGGGACCAGCAGTTAGTATAATAGCTATGTTGTTGAATTCCCATGTAGTTGACCGCAGTTCAAGTCCCAGACCCAGTGACTTAAACTCACACCGGGTGCATGTGCATGCATGCTCAAGATCCCGGGAGGAGAATGGAGGAGGAGGAATTGCGGCGTGGCCATCCCTCCTGGGGCGTGATTTTTTGCTTTCTATCTCTGTCTCTCTCTGGAGAGCACACGCGCCCTATAGCAAAAACCT